CCGCCCCCCGGGATCCCGGCAGCCCCAACACCTGGGGCCCCACACTCCCCGCCAGCCCTGGCTCCCCTTCAAAGCCATTCCTTCGCTAAGAGGAGTTGGCAAAAGCCACGGGACCAGCTGGAAACCGCCTTTATTCTAGGCGGGAGAAGGGGGACGGAGGCACCCCGCCACCTCCGCCCTTCCCGCAAACACTGTCGGGGATTTTGGCGGGGGGGGAAAGCTAAAAATACTACCCTGGCTTTAATCACAAGGGGACACACACACACACCCCCCAGGGCCACCACATCACATCACAGACTCGATAGCGGCCGGAGTCGTGGGACTGATGCTCTGCCCGGCCCCGGGGGGATGCTCTGGCTCGTGGGGGTAGAGGGGCACCCTAAAACTTTTAAAAAGGAGAGTTTTGCCCATTTCTGCAGGTCTTGGCCCCGAAAAATCGCACGCAGCGCAACGGCGGGGGGGCTCGGGGCGACCCCCAGTAAATAGAAGCCTAAGGAAAGGAGGTGCCCCCCCGGGGTGGGCAATGGGTGCTGGACCAGCACCTATGGATGCCAGGGGCTGTCTTGGTGTGGGGAGCTCCCAAGCAGGGACACACACACACACACACACACACACACACACACACACACGGCCCTACTCACCTCCTCCAGAGCCCCCACCGCCCCCCGGCACTTCTGCATCTTGGAGGCGAAGGCGGCGGCGACCGGGGAGCTGAGATCCTCGCCGGTCACGGCCAGGAACTCGGCCACGCTTGGCAAGGCTAACGAGCTCCGTTTGTTTTCTTTCTTCGCTTTCGCAGAGCCTGGATGGGGATCAAGCCATACTCACTGAGGATCAGGAAATATGTGAAAGCCATTCACATCTCCGGGCTCAGTGAGTTGTGCTTCGAAAGATGATGGGCATCATCGGGCCACCGGGGTCTGTGATGGTCCCATCTGCCACCAACGCTGGTCACATCTGTGCTTGGGGTGATGCTGCTGGACAGTGGGATGGCCGTGGGTGCTGGTCAGTGAGGGGGACATGGGTGCTTGCAGCCAGCCAGCCTGGCAACGTGATAGGGTGCCAAAAACTGTCTTAAAAAGATGTAAAAAGGGAAATTGAGAACCTTGGGGAGGATGTTTAGGGTGCCTGCAGCAAGATCAACCCAGCTTTGCTACAGAGGGATGGGGAGATGGGTTCTGGGTGCTGGTGGGACCTCGTGATGTGACCATCTCCGGGGATGGGGTGCTGCAGGGCCGCCCGGTGTCCCTCACCGGTGTCTCCCCGCACAGCCCACGTGGAGAATGAGGAGCAGTACAGCGAAGCCCTGGAGAACTTTGGCAACAACCACCTCTCCCAGAACAACCACGAGCTCTCCACCGGCTTCCTCAACCTGGCCGTCTTCACCCGTGAGGTCACGGCGCTCTTCAAGAACCTGGTGAGCTGCCCCCGCGTCCTCCTGGCACGCTGCCGAGATCAGGGGGAGGATTTAACCACCCAGGGGGGATCGCGGGGTTCATGGAGTCTCCAGTGCAGCCTCAGGCTCTTCTCTGCATCTGGCTATTGCTAAGCCAGGGGAAATCTCCGGGATCCATCTGGATTTGCAAAAACCACCCAGTGCAGCCCCACTCCTCCCAGTTTAGCTGCCTTCTACCACAGGGAACAATCCCCAGCTCCCATCCCGGGCTCAGGAAAACACTCCTGGTGCTCCCAGGCCATCTGATACCCCTGTTGCTGGATTTACAGCTCATTCCCAGCTCTGCTGGGAGCACAGTGCTGGGATTCGATGGGCGGTTGGAGCTGCTATTTTCTTTTTTCCCCTTTCTTTCTATTTTTTTTTTCTCACATCAATTGCATCTCTGATCTCCTTTGCCAAGAAGCAAATCAAAGCCACGCCGAGCTGCGCAGCGGGGCCTTGGGGAGCCGTGGCCGGGCGGGAGGCAGGCAGGGGCGGCTGCGAGCTGAACCGGCAGCACCTTCCCCACCACGGGAATGGCTCC